TGTGTCTTTATATTCTGAGTTTGGAGTGTATGGAAAGTATATATATATATATATATATATGCGTGTATTTATATGCAGCATATATAAACATGCACACATGCAGAGATTTATTTTAATAAGCTGGCATGTACTAGCACCGAGGCCATGTGTTCCCTGTCCCTAAAAAATAGGGAGCATTTTGTCCCAGGGAGCCGTAAAATAGAAGAGATGCTAGTTACAGAAGCCACTGAATTCTGACTCCCCTCAATCATCTGTACTTTGGCATTGCCCACCCTAGCAGAAAGAGCTTCATGCAGAGGTGCAATGCTGCTTGTTTATTGAGCCATATTTTGATTAGAAATCGATGAGGCAACAAAGAGGGGTATGTCATCCTCGGACATTTGCTTCCCGTGGGATTGTTACTGCTCTGGAATAAGACAACTTTTGAACCAACGACACCTTATATCTGGCGGCTTTGTGAATGGTTCTAGGTGTAGGTTTGGTCCAATCCAGCAGGAAGTCCTTATGTGCTTGTAGGAATGGCCCTTCAAGTAAGGACCAGCCGCAAACTCCAATTGGTAGCCAGTGGCATATGTCAATAGGCACAGAGTAGGGTTCTTGATTTTCCTCTCCCTCCCTGCTCAGCATCTCAGTTTGTGGGGGTGGGCAGCAGACCTTTCCTTTCCTCAGCTTGGAAGACAGTAGGCTTGTTGATGGGGGGTGGAGTTTTGAATCATTGCTTCATCATCTCCTCTGGAATACTTACTGCAGGTGGCATTTTGGCTGGTAAGCCTATGTTCCCACATACGGTTTTGTCAGAAAGCAAAATAAAACACCAGGGAGGAAAGGTGAGAGCGAAGGAAAGTTGGTGAGGCCTTTACTTGAGAGTAAGGCAGTGTCCCAAAAGATGCTGGCAGACATCTCCCAAATTCACAAGGTATGAAACAACAGGCCAGTAGCCACAAGCTTCTGCAGAACAGCCTAACAGTCTCTTGAGAGCTGCGGTCTCTCAAAGCTGGTAGACATATTTAATGGATGGAAATATGCAGCAGTAAAAGATCAAGCTCAAAAATCAATCTGGTAGGCTAGGGGAATGTGGATGCTGTAAGATTCTTACAGCTGGTTGTAAATGCAGAAAGGTGTGAGCAAGATTTTCTGCAGAACTTGTAACGTTTCAAACAAAAAACCGCATATGGAACTGTTTTGTGGCTACATTCCAACTTGTAATAGATCTGGTAATTACATTTGCCTGGCATAAATTTCCTCTGCGCTGTCCTTCTTTACTTGGACCAGTTCTAGCATTAATAGTTGTTAAAATGTGCCTCTGCCACTCATTATCCAATTCCAGAGGGGAGTATGGGGAAAGGAATCACTTTTACAGAGCAACCGCAGGATGTGATCTCCAATACTTCCCTTGCTATGGCAGATGCAGTAAGCGCTGGTCCATTTCAAAAGGGGCAGGTTTTTGGAGAAATGTTAAGAGTCTGCCTTATACCGAATCAGTGCATAAGCTCTCCAAGATTTTAGACAGGAGCCTTTCGCAGCCCTACCTGGAGATGCCAGTGCAAATTCTGAAGAATGGCTGTGTTTCGGTCTGCGTATTGTGTTGGAAAGCATGACTTAAGATAGGTTTGCCTCTAAATGCCAACTACATCAGATTTCTACCCAGAAGTAATCGAAGGCCTCTTCAGTTAAAGAGGAGAGCTACAGAAGGATTTGGCAAGGAGTGCTGCCTTTCTCAGACGTCAGTCTGGAAACTAAAATAACACCCCCATTTTCCTCCTCCCCAGGCAGGCTCCCAGTTTAGTTGGAAGAGGATCCTCCTTGACCCTACTGCCTTCACGCCAAAACCCACTTTCTACCTCCTCCCCAGTCATTCATGACTGCCATTTATCTCTCTGCTAGGGAACGGGTATCTGTCTCCAAGCTACGGATCCAGAGAGGTTAGGCTGAATAATTTTGACAAGGTCAAGATCACCAGTGAGCTTCATGGCTGTGGGGATTTGAGCCCTTTGGCCAAGATGGATTTCCCCATGATAAAAGCTTTCGGGAGGAAGTGGTGCTGGCTTGCCACAAAATGGCAGCATAAGGGGCTCTGCTCCACCCCCACCCCCCAAATGGGCTGTAAATAAAAGAGTTGGCATCTTGAGCTTCTAAATGCAAAGGGTCTTCTGATAATTAGCCAAGCTTTCTGTAAATATACAACGAGGGCTGAGTTTATGTAAGGAAGGAGCTTCTTTGTGCGTACTGGGGTGGGGTGGGGGGAAATGCAGAGAAGATCCTTGTTCTCTGAAGAATGTCTCAATTATGCCTTTTTTGATTTTGGAGGCCAGCAAGTGTGCTATGAAGTTTATATAAGAATTTTGAAATATTTATACCTTTTTAGGGTGTATGTGTGCAGAGTGGACCCTATCTTTCATGTTTTGTATCACTTCAGCCTATGATCTGGAGATGTCTTGTATGAAAGCTTGGTTTTGGTGGCTCTCAGCTCCTGAGCTACGGATGAGACCTCGTGCAGCCTTTTATCCCAAGAACCCTGATGCCATGTTTGGACGAATCTGTGGTTACATCAGTGGAACCATATTGGACCTCAGAACTTCTAGTTAGCTATGTAATTGCTAGTTTCATGGCTCATTGTTGTATATTGGAGCTGGGATATAGCCTTGATTTGCTGGTTTTACTCTGAGTAGAAAGCACTTGACGAGTCGACTGGTTCTCCCAGGAGTGAGAGCTCATCTGCTTGAGTTAGGGGGCTGCTTGATGTACCCCTCTCTCCTCCTCAGACAGGGTGCACCCATCTTGAGCAGCTGAATTGGGGCCAATGAACTAGTAAGACTTTGCTCCATGATCTGTGGGTACTCTACTTTTTACATGTTAATGTGGAAGGCAGGCAAGGAAGGGGAAAAATGATCAAAACCTACAATTAAAGTATCATAAAAATAAAGAAGGGTGTCCCTATCTCTGAGTTCAGTAAAAATTGAAAGCTCTTAATCCAGGAAATGGACTAATCATCTCTAAATCATATTGAATGCAATGGGACATATATAATTTAGTTGTCAATGAATTCAGTGATTAGAATGAACTAGTTTAGTTGAACAAAGTTCACTGAACTAATTTTAAAATCTGTGAACTATACCTGAAAGCAGTTCCCAGAATTGCTGATTGAACTAAAGGTGAATTAAGTTGATTTGGGGTAGAACTTTGTATGCTTTCTAGTTCACCTTCACATTCATTCCATCACCTCGACTCCATGCAGGAGGCCCAGAGTCTTTGCTTTCATTTTAAAAATAAACGTAAGTTAGACATCCCTAGAGAAAGTTATACATCAAAATATGGAGGCAATGTTCTAAGGCTTTTTAAGCAGATATACAGGCACTGCTGTTGCTATGACACTTGCCACTTAATCACTACTTCTTTACTGCTAAGCCATCAGAAGAAAGGAATGTGAGGCATTCCTGTATCCTCCCTAAATAAATTTGCTTTCTCCCAACAGGAGCACCTTGCAGCAAGAAGTACAGGCAGGAACGAAGCAAATTTTGCCTTGTGCCTTTAACAGCTGTGTGGCTGCCACAGATTATCCAGGGTGAGCCTTTTCTAGTATGGAAATACTTGAAAATTCTACTAGGGAAATACTAGAAATTTTAATAGGGAAAGTTTCACCTGTTAACAGTCTTATTGTAAGACATCTTATTACTTGTGTGTGGCCCCTGATTTAGTTTTGGATGCTATACTTCAGCACAGCAGAACATAATATTCTGAAGATTGGAAAAAGGTTGCTGAGAATGAACTTTCTATCAGCTAAAAAGTTCATTTGGATGAGCTTGAACTGAACTAGTTTGTTTTGTAAAATGGCAAACTGGAACTAGTTCCTTTTTGGATAGGGTAAACCATTACTAGTTCCGTTTTTCAATGACCTTTCCAAGCACTGCCTGCTTATCAGCAAGACTTAAGTGCAATTAACTAATTTTATATATTAAAAAATAGCTCAATGTGCTTCCTAATCTCGAGTTCAACATGTCACTTAATAGGCTACAGACATTCACACTAGACTAACCTATTTCAATAAACATAGTGGTATATATTATTGTAGTAGCCCTTGAATAGCTGGGTCACAGTATAACTGGCCAGGGGTAAACCACAAATGTCAACAAGTCCTAAGATTTACTAAAGTTGTGGCATGTTGCACTGGAGACCATTCCCCACCCCCTCCACACTACCGAGTCATTGACATGAAATAAGCTATTTATACAAAGTTAGACTCAACTGCAAGGCTGGGAGTTCTTGCTTTCATGTGGTAATGTGAACTTTTACGGATTCCATTCTTATAGGGTTCTTTGCTTCTATTTCTTAGACTTGCACCCATCATGGGGTATGTGCATGTGCAACATTACTGACACGCATCACAAATACAACAGTGCGTTCAGTCCAGGGCTGGTCATCGCACTCAACCTAGTGCTGGATAGAAGCCAATAGGTTTTGGGAGGATGAAACCATAGAATCAGGGCCGTCTTAAGTATATCCGGCGCCGTGGTGCAAAGATCCCTCCGACGATGCCCCCCCCCCCCATTTCCCAGAGTTGCTGACCTTTTTATGGTGCTGCTGACAGCTTTGTGGGGCTGGAGGAGGCGGGCAGCGGCTGGAGGGCGGCTCCTCCAGTGGGGAGGAAGCGGAGGCTCAGGGCGCAGTGCTGCTTCAGCAAGCTGATGCTAGGAAGCGCCACTCCCAGCCTCCGCCTCTTCCCTGGCACTCATGCCGTGGTGGCCACGACAGGCAGAGGCTCCGGGTGCGGTGCTGCTTCGGCGCGGCATGGCAGAGGCGGGCGAGGGCAGCGAGCTGATGGAGGGAGGCACCGCATCCAGCCTCTGCCTCTTCCCTGGCGCCCTCCAGAACTTGGCACCCTGGCACCCCACGCCACGTGCCTCTATGGGCAAGACGCCCCTGCATAGAATTCTAGAGCTGGAAAGGGACCCTGAATGCCATCTAGTCCAACCCCTTGCAATGCAGGAATCCTTGCCCTCAGCCATTCCTCAGTGGGCTCGAACCACCAACCTTCTGGTTAACAGCCAGACGTGCTGAATGACTGGCTGCAAATGAAAATTGTGCGTGCATCTGTAAACTAAAGAGGAGGCACCCTACAAAAAAAGAAGGGCTGTTTCAGCATCCTTGGTTGTTGGGGTTTTTCTAAGTATTGGTATTAGAGTTACTTCCATTCTAAAGAAAGGCATTCAAATCACCAAACTATTTTCTGCTACAAAGCTCTCAGTCTGCTGTCAAGTGCCAAGAATATTTGTGCCTCAAAGCATTCTGCAAACGAGGGATTTGGATTTTTAAACTGCCCAAAGACAATCGCTACGACCACTTCAACATAGCAGGTGCACAACAGGGGGAGGGAGAATAGCTTATTCCAAGGGAGAGGGAGCAATTGGGAAACGGTTTCCGCTGAAACTACATGAAATGGAATAGGAGAAGAGGGGGAGATCCGTTTTGCCTCCGAACTGAGATAAAACCAAACTGAAATGGCACCAATTAATGTATGTGGATGGCAAACGAAGACTGATTTGGTGACCTGAGGCAAGTAGCTGCACCGAGTCTCCCATAAGCGCCTGAAGCCGCCGTCCATCTCAATTTCACAGGAAGACCAGCGAAACACAATGCGGAGGCTGCGATTTACTTTACTGATGCTGTGCTGACGCGCACTAAGCTGGGCGTCACCCTACAGCCCTTTGCCTTGCTCTCCTCAGTGTGAAACTTCTGGCCAGTCCGTGCTCTTCCTAGAAGTAGCCAGGTATCAGCTCCCTGGGGTGGTTTCAGGGCAACCCGCCCAAAGCCAAATACCGCATTCAGCGCTGCATGTTGATGAGGTGGATATATTGTAACATAAGTGCTTGTTTGGATCCAAAATAAAACCACAAAAAAAATTACAAATCTGTAAAACTTAAATATTTTTTTCTTTTTGTCAAAGAAAAAAAATAAAATAAAATAAAACCTTGTTGTAAAGAATTACTCTAGCCCGGAGCTATTTCCCCCCCTCTTTGAACTGCCGTTTATTTCTGTTCCTACCCTCTGTTGTTGTTGTTTAGTCGTGTCTGACTCTTCGTGACCCCATGGACCAGAGCACGCCAGGCACTCCTGTCTTCCACTGCCTCCCGCAGTTTGGTCAAACTCATATTAGTAGCTTCGAGAACACTGTCCAACCATCTCGTCCTCTGTCGTCCCCTTCTCCTTGTGCCCTCCATCTTTCCCAACATCATGTTGTTTTTACATGAGTAGAATGTGTGCTTTTATTTAAAATGCATCTCTGGGTTATTTGTGGGGCATAGGGATTCGCTCATTTTTTTCCTTCAAAAATATAGTCTGGCCCCCCACATGGTCTGAGGGATGGTGGACCAGCCCAGGGCTGGAAAAGGTTGCTGACCCCTGTCGTAGAGTTTCCCCTTTCCACCCCATGTGACTGCCCAGCATGCCTTTCTCCTTCCCAACACTATTTCTGAAGCCACGTCTCTCCTCTATTCTGCACGTCCACTTTGCACCCCTTGTTTTCACTATCACCCCATTGTCACCACCTCTTCCTCCTCCTGTGCAACCCACACTTGCACACAAACTCCTCTCAGGATGACCTGCATCTTGCTTCTCCCACACCTTTCGACTGCTTCTGAGCACGCTCTTCACCTTTTGCCCAATTGTGTGACCAGACAGCTCCAGCCCCAGCGATCGTAAGAAAGGAATAAAGACTCTGAGAACCTGTTATGGAATTAAAATTAGGCCACCACTTTATTAAACTTCTGAATGTAGGAAGACCTTGGCTTAGGCCTTGGGCGTGTATCCCTCCCAGCACCCCAGCCGGGGGGAACTGGGGCTCATCAGGGTAAATGGGATATGGGGGTGCTCTGCGAGACATAAGTGTAGCAGGCAGCCCAGCCCATATCCCCACACACAGGGTAGTTCACTAACGCCCTTTCAGTGTATGGCCAGTGACACCCATTATATAACACCTTTTAAGAGGGGGACCCTGGAATCGACGCCTCAGGGGGTGAGTCACCACTTCACACACACACCCCATTAAAGGGAAGAAAAGACTAAAGGATTCCACCCAAGGCCATAACCGCCAAAGTTGTGACGAATTGCTACGGGGAAGACAAAACCTGCCAATGCAGGAAAAATTCTTCCCGGTCCTTCAACAGCAATCAGTCAAAGACCGTAGCAGTGCCTGCTAAACAGGAAGGAAAAGTTAACCTGCAAACAAGAAAACATTACATTAAGGGAGGGTAGGGTGGGTGAATCTCCTGAACTGACTGCCTGGCTACTGTTGGCTCCACCCCCTATTTATAAATGGGACTGCCCCTCCCCCCATGAAACTTGACTACTGAGGCTGGGCGTGAACCTCCAAATAATAACAGAGAGGCAGGCCAGTCCCTGTTTGCCATTAAATTCCCAGGGAACTGTAGCACCGCGCACGATCCAGCAAAGGGCACCCACAATGTAAAGTGTGGGTGCTCATTATGAGAAGCATCCCATCCTATTCTTCAGACCCTTTCAGAACCCCTGCTTTCGTCTTTAACCCCACTCTCATGCTTCCGACTCCAGCCTTTATTACAACCCTCTTAACACCCCCAATTTAACCTAACTCCTTTTTTCCCTCCCCCCTCCCCCTTATGTTTCTCAATTCTCCCATGTGTGAGAGGGAGAAAGGTTGAAGAGCCCGCAGATATCCCACTGTAAGAAGGTACTTTTCTCAAATCTCAACCACTGGTTTAAACCACCCTTTTCCTCTCAGTGTCCGTGCTTTACTCACACTTCCATTGCCATTTTAAACCACCACTTTCTCCCTTTCAGTGTCTCTCCCTTCTTGCTCTCTTCATAGCCGCTGCTGTTGGGCAACCTGCCTTCACTTTTGACTTGATGCAAACCCAGGATTGGGATGAGGCACTACAAATCCTCCAGTGAGGGCTGCACCACAACAGCCTTACAGTTTATGCATATAGGAGGTTCATGCGAGAGAGGGCAATTTTAACAGCACATTTGGCGCAAAGGGGAAAGAGAGGAAATTTTCTAAACACCCGAAATAGCAGGGAAGTTTTGAGTTAGGCTTTCCCAGGGAACCTGTGCACTGCAACAGCAGAAGAAAGGCAAAAAGGCAAATTCGCCTACAGGTGAATTCAGATTGCGCAATTACCCTGGATAAGGGAGCTTCCCAAAAGATGGGGCTTTTTGCAATAAAGAAAGTGAGGGAGAAAGGCTTTGAAAAGTGCAAGATGCGTCATCTAATATCCCTGTAAACAAATTGGGATGAATGCTCAGCAAACAGTTTGACTGGAGGGAACCTACTGCGTTACTCAGATCTATGGCTATGGCTTGACCTCAGGGCCCAAATCTAGGGCCACACAGCTCAGAAGGCCCTCAAATGACATTCTAAAGGGCAACTGCTGGAAGCAACAGCAAAAAAAGTCCCACATCAGCTCCTGGGACAGGATGGGCATGCTGCGGTGCACTGGGGTTAATGCTCCTCCACCTCACAGCATGCTTTCTTCTTACTTTAAAAGACATTTTATAATCGGGGGGGTGGCGGCAGGCGCATTAGTGGCTGTAGGTACTCATTTTATTATTTTTACTTTAAGCATATATTGTTTTCTCCCTCAAAATGGTGCTTCATTGAAAGTAAATGTGTTTAGCATCGAGGCAGAAGCAGTGAACCCCATAGTTTTCCTGCAGTCATAATGACGCTGCGGTTTTAATGAGGTTAGGATGCGGAACTACACGAGCTCAAAAGTATTCCTCCCCCCCCCCTTCAGGTTTGCAAACTGTTTCTCTTTGCATTTTGCTCTAACAAATCAGGAATGTAGACAGGGGCATATGAAGGGGGGGTGGAGGCAGTCTGCCCCAGGTGTCATCCCTGGGGGGGTGACAAAATCCCCCATGGGCAGATCACCGCGCTGCCCCCCTGGGCACCAATTGCTGCGCTGATCGCCCCCCCTCGATGCCGATGGCCGCGCCGATTGCCCTAATGGGTGCCAATCGCCAGGCTGATCACCCCCAATGGGCGCCGATCACCCTGCCCCCCTGGGTGGCTCCCCCCGCTCCCCCCCCCCGGGTGCACAGGATGTGCGCCGCTCTTGGTGCCCGAGCGGCTAGCTCTGCCACTGAATGTAGAAGCAGTTATAAAGCATGGAAAAAGAGAAGAAAAATGTTAAACAATACACATGGCCGTCTAAAAAAGGAGACCTTAAGACCACCAAGCCCAGTTACCTGTGTCCAGTTTGCTTGCCAGAATGATTGACAAATGTGTTGCGGAAGCAGGAGAAAGCAGGACTCAAGCTGTGGAAGGGAGGAAGAGCAGGTTCCTGATTTGAACTCAAGTTATGTCTATGCACTGTGGGTTAAACCACAGAGCCTAGGACTCGCCGATCAGAAGTCGGCGGTTCGAATCCCCACGACGGGGTGAGCTCCCGTTGCTCGGTCACTGCTCCTGCCAACCTAGCAGTCAACCTAGCACGTCAAAGGGCAAGTAGATAAATAGGTACCGCTCCGGCAGGAAGGTAAACAGTGTTTCCGTGTTTCCGTGCGCTGCTCTGGTTCGCCAGAAGCAGCTTAGTCATGCTGGCCACAGGACCTGGAAGCTGTATGCCGGCTCCCTCGGCCAATAAAGCGAGATGAGCGCCGGAACCCCAGAGTCATCCGTGACTGGACCTAATGGTCAGGGGTCCCTTTACCTTTACCTTTACTTTATGTCTATGCAACGCAACCTTAGATTGTGCAGAAAACAGCCCCGTGAACCATTCTCCAATCAGCAGTCTATTGTTAGTCTATGTTGGAATTAAATCTTTTTAATAGAATGGGGTTTTGCGCAGGAACGGCGCCAATAAGGGAACTCGATACCAGATAAAGGAAATGGCTCAACTCATCTTAGAACTTTTTTTTTCTTTAATTTTAAAAACCAGATAGGATCTTCAAGTCCTGCTGCTGCTAGAAAAAGCTTGAAGGAGACATGACAAATGGGAGTGAGCCTATGAAGGCGAATGAGGGCAATATGGATCTCATTAGTGGTAATTGAGGTCATGGTAAGTGGTAATGGGCTGGAACAGAAGGAGACAAGGT